GAAGGCTCTACATCTGGAATTGGTGGTTGATCTTTCAACCAATGCATTTCTTAATGCATTCAAGCGCTTCACATCGCGAAGAGGTAAATGTCAGCATATTTATTCAGACAATGGCACCAATTTTGTAGGTGCCAGTCGCGAACTGACGACGTTCTTTAATCAAAGTAAAAATCAAAACGTGTTTGCTGATTTTTTTGCTGTCGACAACATACACTGGCATTTCATTCCACCGCGATCCCCGCACTTCGGCGGAATTTGGGAATCAGCAGTCAAGGCGGTCAAGTATCATTTGCGTCGAGTAATCGGAAAGGCGTCCTTGACATATGAGGAGTTCAATACTATTATAGTGCAGGTAGAGGCCTGTCTGAATTCCCGTCCCCTATCGCCATTATCAACCGATCCCGATGACTTGAATCCATTGACCCCCGGCCATTTTCTGATTGGAAGCTCTTTGATTGCGGTGCCGGAACCAGACTTGTGTGAGGTCAAGACTGGACGTCTTACCAGATACCAGCATCTCGTACAAATAATGCAACATTTTTGGAAGCGCTGGTCAAAAGACTACCTGACGGAAGTCCAACAGCGGTCAGGTAACGGGGCTTCACCAGTAGATAACTTGACCATTGGGAAAATGGTCTTATTAGTCGACGACAACCTTCCTCCATTGCAGTGGTCAGTTGGCAGAGTGGTGAACATTCATCCAGGTGCGGATGGAGTCGTACGGGTAGTGACAGTTAAATCCGCGAAAGGTACTTTCACACGCGCAGTTCGAAAGGTGTGTGCGTTACCAATTCCGGACTAATATACGTACATTTAACCCACTTAGCATTTTGAAAATGCTCCTGATATTATGGTGAAGAGTTTCTTTATTTTTTTTCTCTGTTTTTTGCATTATGCCCTTTATTTAATATTTAAAACTCAGGAGCTTAGGTTAACCATTGTTGATTAAACAATTTTTCGTTGTTGTTTGTCACTTGATGATAATGTTCTGTATTGTAGGTAATTATTATAAAATTTTCCATTTCCATATAATGCCTATTAAAATATATATAAAAAAATTGTTTCTATAAATATTTCATTATTGTGTATGTATCAAGTTCAATTACATAGGCAAAACAAGTAATAGTTCTGTAGTATGTACTTCCTCTATGTATAAACTAGATTTAAGCATAAAGCGTTTTGTTTATGTGTCTAAAGGTGAATATATCCTGTTGAATGACATCTATTCAAGGTGGGCGGAATGAAGCGTACCGGCAACACCGCGCCGCTCCAGAGCCATCTACAGCGACCCTTGCCTTTCGCCCTCTCGGCGAGTTCAATAGAGACTTTCGTACAACCTGTTTCGTTCTTGACCTTTAACTTTATTTCGTATTTATTTTAGTTAATAAAGTTGGTTTTTTTGTACAAACAAATGTGAAAGTCATTTCTAAATAATCCGAGAACATGCCATTGCGGTTACAGACACTACGGTCCCTGTTTGGGAATCGGCCCACTGAGCAGTGGACTCAGGCTTCTCGTGCCAATCCTTGACGCGTTTCGTCCTTGTTAGGACTCATCAGAAGGACATAGGCTGAAGCTCCCTGTCCATAACAACAAAAGTTCAGACCAATCAGTGTAGTTCAACGCCGGTAGGGGTATTTGCCCTCGGAGTAGTTGTTTCTGACTGGTCAACGAAGTTCACTTTTGCTTGGACAGGGAGCTTCAGCCTATGTCCTTCTGGTGAGTCCTAACAAGGACGAAACGCGTCAAGGATTGGCTCGGGAAGTCTGAGTCCACTGCTCAGTGGGCCGATTCCCAAACAGGGACCGTAGTGTCCCTGTATTCACGTTGGTCATTACCTGAAAAAATCTTTCTAACAATTTCCATTGCCAACGAAAGCTCAGACCAATCAGTGTAGTTCAACGCCGGTAGGGGTATTTTCCCTCGGAGTAGTATTGTTTCTGACTGGTCAACGAAGTTCAAACCTAAAAGTATTCATAGTTTGACAAATACCTGACAACTAAATTCATAGTGCAAGAGCTATAGTCTATCGATAGTCAAATGAAACAGTAAAAAAAATAATATTCCTTTGGCCGTCGGCGTTTTCTTTATGAAGCACTGGCGGAGTAAAAGAAATTTATTAAAACAGTTTTATGTAAAATAAAACATGAGGCACGATACAACTCAAATTGGAATCAAATTTATAAAAACTATCTACTGTGCTGTCTTTCCAGACGAAACTGATTAGCAAGCGGCGGCCGCTTCAAAGAAATATGCCGCCAAAGACGCCGCTTCAAAGAAATATGCCGCCAAAAACGCCGCTAAAAAAATCTAACCAATAAGATATTCCTGGAGTCAACGTTGACTGTATAAAACAACCAATAAGATGCATTGTTCGCACGTGGATTCGCATCCAATGTATACGGACACGCTCAATATATTTTTCCTAATAATAGTATAATAATTTTAACGAGCAATACGGATAATTTGAGGAGACCCCAATTTTTGCCTTGTCTCATTTGAGAAACGATAGACTATAATATGATGCTATATTACTTTTGGTGACGATGGTACAAAAGAAACAGCAATCAAAACAACTACGAAATCATACCGAATAACCGAAGGGCAAATAACAGTTTAAAAACCGAAATAGCAGAGGCCAGAAAAGCATATACCAGAAAGGGATTTTTTTTTCTCATATATCAGACGAAATCTCAATTCGAACATATCCACAATAATGAGACGAAAACACTGAGGAAATAATTACTAGGTAACAATTTTATTACTGCAGAGTAGAGGTGTTTGCGGATCACTTTGAAAAAGTGTTTACTCGAGAACCTCCGGACAACATGACGATACCTGCCTACCCTATCAACTATTGTTTTTCCCCCGACATCGTCGAAGAGTCCATTCTCGCCCTCAAGAAAGATTCTAGTCGAGGTCTCGACAACATTCCAACCATATTTTTACAAGAATGTGCAAAATCTATTAGCTCGCCCCTTGCTCAGGCAATGACTAACCTGTTGAGTAGTGAGACAGTACCGGAAAAATGGAAAGAAGTCTACATCATTCCAATTCATCCAAAAAATTATCGTCCCATAAGTCTTACTTGTAACACTTGCAAATCCATGGAAAAAGTTGTAACTATACAACTCACCACTCAGTTACTATACAACCCTACAAATATACGTCATTCATCAGACCCATGCTCGAACAGGTATGCTTAGTCAGTTTGCCGTTTGGAATCCCTACCATGCCAAGGACATTGACGTATTGGAAAGAGTTTAAAGAAGAATCACTAAAATTCCACCAGAAATTCGCACAATATAAGTACATAGTGTTCCATTTAAAAGAATGTAACTTCGCACTGTTACACTTTTTTGACGCACCCTGTATGCCTAAAACTGACTTAGTTAAGAACTTTTGACAATTTCTTAAAACTTTTGTATTTGACACTTTTGTCAAAAACGTTAAATGAAAAAGTTAGGAGGGGGTGACATTTATAATAGATCACCCTGTACAGGGTGGCCCAAATTCGAGCCTCATCATTGCGATTTCGGTAACCGTAAGAGATACGGGGTCGGTTAAATTATGGCAAAGTTGCGCAATTTTATGACCAATAGAATACCGTGTTGAAACTAGGAAGATTCCGAATACTTCCGGAGATATTCGAAAAAAAACCGAAATTATGTAAAATCGTTTTTATTTTTTCCTGGGCTTATTTGAAGAGCAACTTTAAAATAAATGTCACTTTATCATTGTCACTTTTTCCTCTTTAGAAGATGGTGCTATTAAATTTAAAATTTGACGTTTCGTCTTCAGGCGGCCATCTTCAACTTCCTTTTTTTAAATACAAACCTGGACTTTTTATTTGCGATTTTGTCATCTTTGGGCATCCTAAAACCGATAATGTTTATAATTTTTCAATAACACAGTAAAAAAAGCAGATCCGTATTTAAAAAAAAAAATTGATGCTGATTCCAGAGGAACGAAACGTTGGATTTTAAATTTAATACCGCCATCTTGTCGTAGAGAAAAAAAAGTGACAATGGGAATGTCAAATTAGTTTTTCACAATCTTTTTAAATAAAATCAGGAAAAACTGAAAACTATACGATAAAAACATGAATTTCTCATTTTTCTTAAATTTTTTCCTGATTCCATTTAAAAAGATTTTGAAAAACTAATTTCACATTCTCATTGTCACTTTTCCTTCTTTACAAGATGGCCGTATTAAATTTGAAATCCAACGTTTCGTTCCTCTGGAATCATCATCAATTTATTTATTTTGAAATACGGACCTGCTTTTTTTACCGTGTTATTGGAAAATTATAAACAGTATCGATTTAAGGATGCCCAAAGATGACAAAATCGCAAATAAAAAATCTAGGTCCGTATTTAAAAAACGTAAGTTGAGGATGGCCGCCTGAAGACGAAACGTCAAATTTTAAATTTAATAGCACCATCTTCTAAAGATACAAAAGTGACAATGATAAAGTGACATTTATTTTAAAATTGCTTTTCAAATAAGCCCGGGAAAAATAAAAACAATTTTACAAAATTTCGGTTTTTTCCGAATATCTCCGGAAGTATTCGGAATCTTTCTAGTTCCAAAACGGCATTCTATTGGTCATAAAATTGCGCAACTTTGCCATAATTTAACCGACCCTGTATCTCTTACGGTTACCGAGATCCCAATGATGAGGCTCGAATTTGGGCCACATACCCTGTACATACCACATACCTACCTACTTTTTTAACTCCAATTAGGCAGTTTTAGAAAACAAAATTACCATTTACTACTTATTACAAGTAGAGACCAATAATTCATCATTTTCCTGTAGTCATCAACAATTAAAAAAAAAGTAATATCTTCTAATTGATGCGATAGGAACACAATATCGCAAAATAACTAATAATTAGTTTGCAAAATAATTAAAATTGATAATTTTGTGCATTGATGAGGCATTTCAATTGTTTGTCCTGACATCATTAATTTATTTTTGAAGAAGTATAAAAGGGAAAAGGGCGAACTATCAGTCAGTTTTTCTTTCAAGTCCGACAGTTACAGGTAGAAGGTAAGTTTCATCATACTTCCTTACCATCCTATCATGAACTTTGCATAATGAATGTGAAACATCTTTTTTTAAATGCTCTTTTTTGAACTTTTTGCTAATTAAAGAAACACTTTCACTATTTTTTGTATGATTTCTTGGGACTTTTTGATAGGTACTATCACAATAAAATCGTTTATATCCACAAGAATTCACAGAAATGTTCTGATTTTGTTGGGTGTGAAGATCGTGAGTTCAATAGAAATAACTCCGCAAGAGAGGCGGGTTAAAACGTATCAAAGATCAAATCAGAAAATTTCTGTGAAAAATATTTATTTTTGTTCCACATTATGCGAATTAAAAATATATTTCACTCAAACTCTTTGAATACAATTTTTTCAATGTTTCGTTCTGTCCACTTTATGCTAAACCTAATAAAAAAGAAAAATGTATACAGGGTGTCCCAAAAAGATACCGACAAACTTTGAGGGGTAGTAGGGGACATCAAAACAAGCATTTTTGTTTATATAAACATATGTCCGCAAATGAGTCATTTGGGCTGTAGAGCAAAAAAACTGTTTGATACTTTTATTCTTCGCAAAAATTAAATCACTGTTTACTTATTAATTTTGCTTTATTATCAAATAAATTATGGTTTAGAATAATTGTTCAAAATGTTGACTATTTACTTCAATGCAAAGATTACACCGTCGGGTCATTGACTGAAAAGTTTAGTCTACGAAACACCTGTTCGTAATGAGGAAGATTTGATAGCAAGGAAACTGGCGAGTTGTACCCATGTAGAAGCTATTCCCGGAATATTCCAAAGAGTTCGCGAATTGAACAATTATTGTAAACCATAATTTATTTGCTTTAAAGCAAAATTAATAAGTAAACAGTGATTTAATTATTGCGAAGAATAAAACTAGATACCAAACAGTTTTTTTGCTCTACAGCCCAAATGGCTCATTTGCGGACATATGTTTATATAAACAAAAATGCTTATTTTGATGTCCCCTACAACCCCTTAAAGTTTGTCGGTATCTTTTTGGGACACCCTGTATATGTTACAGCATAAGGCTTAAAAGCTCCGATTTAAACAAATACCTAACCATTTTCCTATTTATCTTGAACTCCACATTTAAATTATTTTGTTAATCTTTCAATTTTTAGAGCAGGATGCTGTCTACCAGAGTGTTCCAAATTTTCTTCTGCCTTCTACTGGTGCATGTCTTGTCAGCAAATGCAGGAACCGCTATAGGAAGAACACTGGCCAATATGCTTAACCGAATTCAAACCCTTCTTCTACAAGTGCCAATTATTTCTGCTTTGGCTCCTGCTATCAATCCCATGTTGGGTCTAGTTAAACGTGTTTTTTCAATATTGTAACACTATAAAATGTCAATAAATTAGTTTCAATTATATTTAAAAGATTCTCTCTGGCAAACATGGAAGGCAGAAGGAATTTGTGGTAGGTACCTATAGCAAATATATAGTATTTTTTGCCTCATATTGGTTCACTTTACAACTGAGTGCATTGGAAGACGCCCTTACAATATCCCAAATGACTAAATAACTCCTTGCCCTTTTCAATCCCTAAACTATGACCTGTGATAATTAAATTTTATATTGTTTTTTTATTGTAGAAAAAATGGTTTCTACAAATACCATCGTTTTACTTTTCTTTGCGGTTCTGACATTTCACATCATGTCAGTCCAAGCAACCATATTAGGAAAAGGCATAAAATCAGTCCTACGAGATTTGAAGATTGTTCTCAAACAAATCCCAATTGTGGCCTTTTTTTCGCCTATTTTTGGACCCATTATAGGTTTACTTCAAGCAGTTTTGGGAATATTGTAATAGGTTCCGTTATAAATACTTATTCCAATAAAATAACCATTATCATTAAAATACATTATTTTATTTATTTAGCAACATTCAAGCAAACAACTAACAATTAATAACATCGATGACAAGAGAGTCTAATATACATAAAAAGTAGACACTGATCTCTTTGCTCTATGTGTTTCATCAATATATTCTTAAAACAACAGGGTATGCTCTCTATGATATTCACTTAACTATTATCAATATATATCATACAAACATACATTTTGTGCGAAATCTCAGCTGATATAATAGAGGATGTTTATGTCAGCTAAAAGCAGCTTTAGAAAAATAATTCTTAGATGACTCCACTTATTAAGGAAAGTAGGTATGCATTCAATTAAAAAATGACCCCCTGTATAGCTGCTCTGTCAATATTCCCCCTTTGTGATGGTTAGAAGACATTAGGTAAGTAAAAATTCTTTCAAAAAAATTAAACATAAATAATTTCGAATTAGCTAGAAATTCTGTATAAAGTCTAATTTTAGAAATATAATATTCAACTAAAATAAATCGATATCACATAATAATATTGTATTCATTCTGAAAGACTAGTTTTTAACAAATACGTATTACATTATGCTTAGCCTATAGTTCATTTCACTAGCCCAGGTAGTTTATGTAAGCAGTGAACAGCGTGGAAGCAGTATACAATTTCATTAAAAAAATTGACCCAATGGAACTCAAGCTCTGACCGGTTTTGTGACTTTCTTTCAGTCCTGTGATATAAAATATACCAACATCATCTCTGGGATATCGGGTGCTGAGCAACTTGAACTCATTTTTTTCGCAGGAAGAAGATTTTACAGAACGGCTTTGAAATATCAATCAATTAATTGGGGCAGATTCAGATGGAGTACCACCTATTCGACTCAAAAACTGTGATTCCTTCACCAAGCCATTGAGAATATTATTTCAGGTATCTTTTCCTACCACCTGGAAACATTCAGAAAATTGATCGTATATCTCTAGCACATAAAAACTATATGTATAGTGTGTCATCAATAAGGATTGGAGGTGGATCTGCAGAAAGTAATTGGGGATATTTATCAGGACTTTCTATTGAATCAGGGGAGCAGGTCCATGATGTACAAGCCAATATTACTTAAAGCTGTCTTCACTTATCAAAGAGATTAGTGTTGCTAAAAGGTAATCTGGAAGATATTTGGTGCGGATTAAGATCAAGACTCAGGAAAAACAATAACTTCTCCTGTTTCACAGAGCCCCCATGTTGTTTTCATTATTTCCCAGTTTTTGTCAAAAGGATAATGTAAAAATGGCACTGTCGCTATTAACAACTCATATACTCGCTCATTTATACAGGATGACTTTTTTGTATGTTTAAATAACTTATTGCTCACACCCTGTTCATTGTTCATGCCAACTATCACAGCTCTTGAAATAAACTTTACATTCCAGGTATTCTATTCAAAACGATCCCCCCAAACATCTTAAGAAAAGTTTAAATTATTGACTATAGTAGTTTAGGTTATAGAGAGAAGGGCCAATATTTAGAGTGATTGCTATTTTTTCTATTGAAGTTGTACTTAAGTATTGTATGATAATTTCATATGTTGTTATATATTCTAAATGTTGATCCCTTCCCTAACCTACTATTTTTTTATCTCAAAATACTTTAGTGTGAATCGTTTGAAATCGCCTACCCAGTAACTATGATAAAAATAAAGGAAGTGAGACAAATTAAAAATACTTTTACATGCATAGTCGTTTAATAGATCGTTGCAGAAAGTAGTCAATTTATGAGGTAATTGATGGGCTTTGCCTCAAATATACATATTTTTGAGTAATCCAGGATAAAATATTAATTAAACCTAACGAAATTTATTGATTGAATATCGAAAGAATACTGATTTGCTCATATTAAATTTGAAATATAGCCAATATAAATATGAATAAAAAAATTGCTTTTGCTAAATATTTCTTATTGTAGCATGCCTCAAATACACCAAATGATGTTATTCAACAAGAATTATTACAAAAACTTTAACTAAACACTCATTTCTCAAGTTCAATTTATTATTCCTCCCTTATATAAACCAAATGATGATTTAGAAAAAATATGTTTGAGGTGCAATTTCATCAAATCAAATATACTTATGGTTTATACCATATGACATACCTTTTGATACCATTATGTGCATCACATAGCTCTGTAAGGGCCCTGCATTTTTAAATATTGTATCACCAACGAGGGTCCACCTGCAACGATTTCAGCAGGCAATTGTGACAATGGGCAATTTTCAATGCTCATTATTTGTAAATTTGAACAAAGAGCTAATTCAAATGGTAAATTGTGTAAGGTAGGATTGTCGTTAACATAAAGAGACTCTAGATTTTCTAAGGTGCCAATTTCTTCTGGAAGATATCCCAAATTGTTTTCTCCAATGCTGAGGAACACTAAATTGGTTAGGTGGCCAATGGCACGTGGTAGCTGTGTGAGTTGGTTGGATTGGACAATGAGTCTCTGAAGGTCTTTTAAATAACCGATTTCATTTGGAAGTTGTTCAAGGCGATTTTCTTCTAAATCCAGGACTCTTAGTTTCCGGAGATTACCAATACTGGGAGGTATTCTTTTGAGGAGGTTATTGGATAGAACTAATACTTCTAGGGTTAGAAGGCATTGTATGTCGTCTGGTAACTTGGTTAGTTGGTTCGTACCTGAAAAAATTGCAACATTTAACAACAAAATAATGGGATTTGAATGGAAAAGATTATTGATGGTTGGGGTCTGCTACAAGAGGGAAAAAATGATTTAAAACGAGTTAATGTATAGTGGAAATCCCGAGGGAAATCCTCGAATTTTGTGGTAATCAATGCAGTTTATGCAATGGATGGAGATTTTCTTTAAAAACTACACTTTTCGTACCAAAATATTCATCAAAAGGTTACATGTAGGTATTTTTCTCAAGGCAGAAATCTCTTAAGCCCAGAACATTTGAAATGCGTTTTATTTACATCGGCATAATATAAATAATGAACTTCAGGGTTTCTGCCAAAATGTAGACCAACAATGAAAAAATAAAAACCGTTTACGAAAAGGTACCGCATATTTCAATGCCAAAAAGAGCACACAAAAGAGATTTACTAGAAACTAAGCTACTTTAGGTTGGCTATGATCCTATGAGATAATACAAGGAGAGAAAAAGAAACGTTAATGATAATTATTACCCCTCTTGTGAATTAAAGGCTTCAACATCAAGTTACCACTGGCAGGGATCATATCATAGGGTACTATAAGCAAAGTATTGTCTTAACAAAAAACCAGCGTTACGGCCGTGTTATAGTGTAACTACATCTTCAGACACAATCTAATACCTTACCTACTTATGTATTAGATTAAGCTTAGCGACTGAAGATGTAGCTGTACTAAAAAACGTACAAACAACAAAGTATCTGCCCGAGGGGTGTCTCACGGTCGGAAATAGGTGTACAAATCTCAAAATAATTTCCGGAAATATTGGGAAATTACAGAAATTTCCTGTAAATTGTCATAAATTATGTTAATTCTCAGAAATTATAGGAAATGTTTGGAAATTTTGGGAAGTGTCAGCAACTGTTAGGAAATTATTCAAAATATTGGGAAATTTTCCGAAAATAGAGAAAATTTACTGAAATTATTATGGGAAATTAGGAAATTTTCACCAGAAATCTTTGAGAATTTTTGTTTGGAATATTGTTTAGTTCCTATACGGTGTTTTGTGAATAAAAATACCTAACTGCTTACAAAATAAAGGTAAGTAAGTAGGTAGGTATGTATAAACACATCTCATAAACTATAGAAGTCAAGCTTCATGTTATTTTCTACTGGAAAAAATATAAAATTTTGGGAAAATGAGCTTCTAACCTTCCTCATTAAATGCAAAAAGTTTCAAATTTTTCCCTTTACTAGTTTTCCAAAAAAAATTAAATGTGTGAGACTGTATTCTCAATTAATTCCGTTATTGTTAGTTGATTTTCAATATTTTACATGTTATTATTTTCCACTGGAAAAATTTGAAATTTTGGGAAAATGAGCTCCTAACTTTCCTCTTCACATGCTAAAAGTTCCAAAATTTTGCCTCTATTGGTTTTCCAGGAAAACTTTAAAAAGTGTGAGACTGTATTTTCAAATAATTCAGTTATTTTAAGTTAATTTCCAAGATGTCTCATGTTGTTATTTTCCTCTGGAAAAATTTATAAATTTTGGAAAAATGAGCTCCCAACCTTCCTGTTTACATGTAAAAAGTTTCAAATTTTTCCCTTTATCAGTCTTCCGGAAAAACTTTGAAATGTGTGTGACTGATGTATTTCTAATTAATTCAGTTTTTGTGAGCTGATTTCCAAGATTCTTCATGTTGTTATTTTTCACTGGAAAATATTTGAAATTTTGGGAAAATGAACCTCTAACGTTCCTCTTTACATGCAAAGAGTATCAAATTGTTCCCTTCACTAGTTTTCCAGGAAAACTTTGAATTGTGTGAGACTGTATTTTCTAAAGGGCAAACCACCTAGGAATTCTTTACCAAAAATGTGGGGAAATGAGGTATAGGAAATTTGAACAAATTTATGGGGAATTTGGAGAAATTTTCAGTAAATTTGGAGGAATTTAAAGGAAATTGTAGGGTGATGACGTCACTGAGGTTCACATTCTTATTATAAGAAACACTAACAATTGGAAATTTAGAAAAAAATCTAGTTTTGTGTTGGACGTTAGACATTCATTTCTATCAAAGAAATTCTCCTAAAATTTCACTTCATGATTTACAGGTCCAAACCTCGGTCCAAACTTAAAAGAATACTCAGTTTAATATTCAAGGAAAAACTTTTTGGAATTGGATCCACTTAAACTTGAATGGATTTGAACGCTACATTCAAGATACTGTTCATATTGGGGCCAAATTAGAGAATCGCCTACTGAAAAAAAAAAATTATTAGTCATTAGAGAATGGTGATTACATAATTTCAGTAGATCATTTTAATATGGTGATTGGAAAACACCGAGGAAAACACGAAGGCAAACATAATAAAAGTGAACATTTATTAGTTAGTTCTGACATTGTTCCAGAAGATAGAATGAAATATTCCAGAAGAGGTACAAAATCTCCTTAAAAAAGTTCCTTTGCAACTTCAAGCTGCTTGAAGTTGATACAAGTTAAGTTTATATGTATTTGAATCCGAATATATTGTATCCTAGCATCTTATATGATTGAAAAAATGGTTTACTTATTTTTAAATTATTGAAACGGGAATTAGACACATTTGTATGGCCTACTTAGCCTATGCTGAGGTTCAGATTCAATTTATTGTTTATGGTCCTGTAAACCTGTTCAACTTTTAGGAAAAGGTCCATTCTCGGGTCCATTTATAATAAAAAGAAATAATATACCCTCAATATTGTGAAACAATATACAAGTTGTTTGAAATATCAAATGCAGGTTTAGGTTAGTTTAAACCTCGGTTTAAACCCCTGCATTCTGGATTACCGGAAACCAATCATTAGTTTTAACTCTAAAGTCAACTAACCTAACCTTGCATTTGATCCTACTTGACAATATGCTCTTGTGTTTTAATACTAAGCGCCAGTTTATTCATCTTCTGATAAACCGTCAGGTAATCCAATCTGACGGATAAAATGCAATTTGTAATCCCATTGGTTGGCCAGTTATTCCTTGACCAATAAGATTATGAAATGGCTAAATTAATCTTATAGATAGTTACCAGCAAGTTTATCTGAGGATTTTCAGGGAATTTGTAAGAGGCATTTGTGGTGAATTTGGGAGGAGTTTGCAGGAATTTGCAGGAAACTTAGAGGAATTTGGAGGAATTTTGGGAAATTTTGCGTAGAAAATCCTCCTTTGAGGAATTGTTTGCATAAATTCTGGGAGGGCTGGTTTACTTGATAGAAGTATCACAATACATGTATATCAGAATTTTTACCCTTTGAATTTGAATTTGACACGCAAAACTGAAAATATATGTGCTTTTTGAGCCAAATCAAGCTATAATAAGGGTTGATTGGCCGCTTTTATGTTACATGTCAAATATTCATTTTATGAACTTCTCAATAAAGCATACTTTGACTTTTGATTGTTTTGAGGATATATCAATCAACATATTAGAAGATGAGAACCTGGGATACAGTAAAAGGATGGAAGATGAAGTAACTACAATCGACGAGGCGCTGGAAACCGAGATAGACCTTGATGAAGACGAATATGTTGCAATAGAAGAAGAGAAAGACCTGAACGAGGGGTAAGTCACCCTTAAAATTTTGTACAATAAATTACCACTTTCTTCAAAAAATATCAATAATTACCAAAAAACATTACCAAAAATACTAATAAATACCAAAAAAAGTCTAATAATTACCAGAAAAATACCAGTAGTTACCAAATAATACCAAAAAATACCAATAATTACCAGAAAAATACCAATAGTTACCAAAACAATACCAATAATTACCAAAACAATACCAATAATTACCAAATCAATTACCAAGAAATACCTATCAATAATTACCAAAAAGCTAAGGATCCATGAATCTAAGAAACTTCTGCTGTTGCATACTCCTCGGCATACTCTAAGAGGGGGTGCAATCAGCAGGCTAACTTGAGTGAAAGCCCGTGTAATAAAGGAATTCATGGTCGGGACGTCATTAGCGGCCATTTTGGGATACGAAACAGGGCCTGATTAACAATAATTAAGGTTTTTTCTTTCGTGTCACAGAGTCGTATTGGCTCTAAATAAAGTTATTGATTTACAAGGAAGACAATGGAATTTTATAAAACGTTGGCTATGGCTTGAGAATTTTCAGTATTGAATCAACTGAAAAAATATTTTAATAGGTCTATTTCTGCAGAAATCACAAACCAGTCAGACCTAATTCCATTGGTTGAAAACAGTCAGAAAACTAATTTCAACCAATGAAACTCACTCCTAATTGGTTTGTGTGTGCAGAAACAGACCTATTATTATTTATACATAATAATATTTATAATTACCAATTTATTATTATTATTAAATTGACAAGAATGATAACAGCATAAATGACAACACTAAGAATACACTAAAATCACAGCATCTAAAATTGTATGCTGTGCTAAAATTACAGCTTAAATTCCGCTCTACACCGCACGTCTATGAACTCCACCAGAAATAAACAAATAAAATAAAATTTCGGCGTCCCTGCCATTCACTAGTTTTCGAGATACAGGTAGTTTAATGTCCAAGAAATGCACACATTTTATATGCATTTACATCTACCCGTCACCGCGTGGGGATACCTGTTAATCCTGGTATATTATTAGGTGACAGGTAGATGTAAATGCATATAAAATGTGTGCATTTCTTGGACATTAAACTACCTGTATCTCGAAAACTAGTCACAGGATCAAGTTGAGGGGAGCATCATATCAAATTTTCAGAAAAATTTACTGAATCCCAAAATCCCATAAGAAGTGTGCAGGGTCCTTTAGGAAATTATTCAGGAAATTCCATAAATTATTCAGGAACTTTTAGAAATTATAGGAAATAGGTACTTGAAAAAATTCTGAATATTCAGGAAATGTCGGAAATTATGGGCAATATCAGGAAAACATTTCCAAAAAGGAAATAGGAGTTCAAAATTTAGGCGCGTGAGACACCCCTCGTATCTGCCTATTTGCAGTATGGGAAATTAAAAGCTACTTTGACCTAAATTTAATGATATTTTGTTACAAAACCAATCCTTATGATGATCTCGCTCATGATGATAACTTTATAGAAGCAGAAACCAAAAACACATAAATAAGTTGGAAAATAAATTACTTAACCATGGATTTCAATCAAATTTTTAGTAAATTTTTACCCCCGTTTTTACCTAGATTCAATTCCACCATATTAATCCAAGTCCCAACATCAAGAGGTAGTGATGTTAACTGATTTTCCTTCATATTGAGCTTTGTCAACCTTTTTGCCCTCGAAAATATCCCATAAGGAATTTTATCAATTTGATTATGTTCCAAATTTACAGAATCTACATCGGTAAACTGTGATGGGCCTCCAGAAGGAAATGCTGCAAAGGTATTTCTCGATAGTGTAATGCTTGTTAATTTGTTCAAGCTAGATAAAAGTCCTTCTGGTAGTTGACTTATGGCATTACCTTCCAAGTTGAAATCTTCCATTTCACAACATTTACTTAAAGTTGAAGGTATGTAGGATAATCTGTTATATCTTAAGCCTAATCTGGTCAGTTGTTGTAAGTTACCAATTGAATCTGGTATATCAATTAGTTCATTATGTTGTAAATCCAAGGTGCTTAGGTTTTTACAGTTTCCAATTTCATCAGGAAGATGTTCAAGATGATTATGGGACACATCAAAAGTTCCTAAGTTTATAAGACATCCGATCCCAGCAGGCAATTCTCTAATTTTATTCTCTCTCAAACTGAACATCACAAGAGAAGTTAAATTACTTATTTCATCACCAACAAATCTGATTCTGTTAAATCTAAGGTACAATGTTGTCAAAGAAGTTAATTTATAAACAACATCTGGAATATCATTTAGTTTGTTATGTCTCAGGTCAAGTACTTTTAAATTTTTTAAATTTTCCAATGAGTCTGGTAAACTAGTTAAAGAATTTTCACTTAGAGCTAACATTTGCAAATTTCCAAGACAGCCAATTTCTACTGGTAATTGCACTAATTTGTTGCCGTATAAGTACAACTCGACTAAGTGATTTAAATCTCTTATTGTTTGTGGGAGATTTGTTATATTTGACTTACTCAAGTCTAATCTTTTCAAACCTTCCTCTCTGCATCTGACGAATTCTTTGCTAACATCTAAATCTGCCTGTATGGGAGGTTTATTTTTCTTTGCAGTTGGCTTTAATTTGTTTGAATCTGGATGTTTAACTGTTACAACTTTAGGTCTGGACATGTCTCCACTAAGTGAACCTGAGCTAAATTTCTTTTGCTTACCATGTTCTAAGCCACTCGCCGAATCCGTTTCCAACATATTATCTTGTTCTGTTAAGTGCGAGTTACTTTGATTCATTGTATTTGTTATTTATGTTCAATTTACTCCATGTTTCATGTCGATTTGAGTAGTTTTTCTTTTAATAAATTGGCTGTTTCTAATTTACCATATTCTAACATTACCAGGATAACAAAATGTCGATTTATAAACTAGAGGACCGAGGTAGCTCTGAGGATAATTTTCAGTGCACTTTTAATTATGGAAACAATAATAACAGATTTTGAAATTGAGTTTGATTTTTCTTTCTGAAAATTATGAAAAACTCAAAATTTGTATCCGCCCAACAACAACCAACCAACAACAGGAAGAAAGAAGAAAAAAATAAGAGAAACGTCAAATTCGAATTCTTCTTTTTTTCTGCCTTGTTCCAGCAACTTGTTCCAACACGGCGATTTCGGCTCAGTTTGAACCTGAACTGGGATCACGACGAGTAGAATTCTACTTTCATGACGTCACCGGCAACATTTTCATCGAGTACAGTACAAGTACAGGCAATGATGGTTACTAGGCAACCTGACGTCATGAAAGTAAAAATCTACTTGTCGTGATCCCGGCCCTCTGGGCTCGGCTATTCAACAATCAACACTGATTTGGAGATGGAGACAGCACTCTATTTATAACGGTCGGAATGAATACGAGGCACTTAGAGTGCACTAATGGCGATTTCCATTTGTCAATCAGTGCGCACTGAGTGTATCCGCATCTTTTTCTAAAGGCATGTAACATGTAAGGATAAAGATACATTTTTTTTGCACTGGTTCGACTATAAGTGAGTAAGCCGTCCAATTTGGTAGTTTTTTTTGGTAGTTGTACGTGTACCCCATTTTGAACTGTCAGTAGACAACCAAGGATAATACACACTAACTAAGGATTGCTTATCGGCCACCTTTTTAGTAATCGCGGCTATATGGTGTAGCACCATTGCCGTCGTCATTAACTAAGTGGTCAGCTGTTTGCGCCATCGGTCCTAGTTTCGAATTTAAATTTATAATGAAAAGTATCATTTTTGTGCAACGTTCCGCGAAATGAGCTTTCGCTATTCGCGGCCGCTACACAGGCCGCGAAATTCAATTTTGCGGCCACCACACCTCAAGGATAATACACACTACTACAGGATAGCCTATCTTCATAAGGCCTTTGTGTAATAAATCTGAAGTCCCCACCACGCCAAATCACCAGTTTTGACGTAGACATCATGTCCTCTCTCGCCTTGAGGCAAACACGATAAACCACAGAGGATGGTCACATCGGCGATTTTTTTCCGCCAGTTTAGCGCGAGCACTCTCTGCTGTAGTGACGTCACCTAGCTCATTCAAAACAAGTTTTATGCGTTATTGGTATAGGAGGATAATATGCTTTAGCCATTAATGATGTTTTTTTGGCTTTTAATGCAATAAGTTTCGACAAATTTCATGTTAAACTTCTCGAATTTTCATTACAGAGCATTGTCGAGCAATGTAACCTGTTTACGCACGTACAATTTATTTTTCTTTTTTTTGTATTTTTTTGTCTTTTTCAAAAATACATACACTTTTCTTATTGGTACGCCGCCGACGAAACCCTAAATGGGAATATGCGCGACGCGAAGCATGATTTTGCCGCAAGGTAGTACGGAAAAAACCTTATTACAGAAAAATTATAATAATTGCAGTGTTCTTAGACAAGGACTTTACAAACTATTTTTTCTATGGTTGTGGGGTGAATTGGTGTGGGTGGAGACAACTATTGGTCGTATTATTAGTTGTATTCCTTTCAAGAGTTTGCTAGTCGCTCCGGTGTTTAGTAGCCCCCGATTTGCAGGGAACAGATGCATGGTGCAGCAAAAACTTTTTGAAAGGTATAAGCGCGTGAAGCCCCGGAGCTGTTCCGGAGCTTCTCCTAGGTGTGAAAGGAATACAACCATTGGGAGCTCCCAAAATTAGAAGAAAGAACCAGCAACAGGTGAGCGCCATTAACGATGTCTCTCATTTTTCAATAAAATTTACATTTTCTTCAATGAACGCGTAATTTCATAAGGACGGACAGTCCTCCGAAGGAGTTCATTACGTCGTGCGTGTTCAGTAACAAATACCAAATCTTTGGATTGAGTGGGCCGGAGTACGTCACGCGCCCGGTCATTGACATTTGCGGTGGGCTAGAATTGGCGAACCCGGCGCTTACGACAGGCGACTATCCTCTTGTGGTTTATCGTTCTTCGCCTTGACTTAGAGTGTTTGCACTGTATCCTCTTTATATTAATCATTAATCACAATTAAATAATTTATTTCATCATAAATTTAAATTCTAAAGTACGACCTCTGGTGTAAACAGCTGACGACTTGTTAATGACGTCAGAAATGGTGTCACATCAATATGGCGGCGAATACCAAAAACGAGGCCGATAAGCATTCCTTAGTAGTGTATATTATCCTTGGCCACACCTGAGTTGCAAAATGTGTCAAATCCATACAGTTTGTTAGCTTTACATAATTCTTATAAGTTGCACAAAAAATAGTGTGTATACCATGACCGTGTCCACGAGATTATCATAAAGCTGTTTTCTCGCTTTCACTCCATTTAAAACAGGTTCAAAACAGGTTTGAACCATTGGCCGTTTTTGATTCGCAACCGGTTCGGCCTGGTTCGTTCGGATATGACAGAAGTTGATTGACAGCTTTTGGTTCGAATTTCACCGATTTGCAATTGACCTTTTGTTTGGACGCCATATTGCGGTGCGCGAACATAGTTGCCAACAGTAGAATAAAAAAATACTAGCGTTCTGTCAACTTTAAAATCCAAACTTAGTGAATAAATTACATTTAAAATTTAAATTTGCCGCCTATTACGAAAGTTTTTAGAAAGAAAAGCCATCAATTTTAGCTTGTATTGGGCGGAATAGAAATAATAAAATATCTAGTTGACAGCCCGCTAGTAATTTTTGGTTTTCTTGTTTTGGCAACTATGTTCGCGCACCGCAATATGGCGTCGAAACAAAAGGTCAATTGACCTTTTGTTTCGACGCCATATTGCGGTGCGCGATCATAGTTGTCAAAACAAGAAAACCAAAAATTGCCCAATACAAGCTAAAATTGATGGCTTTTCTTCCCAAAAACATTCGTAATAGGCGGCAAATTTAATTTAAATGTAATTTATACACTAACTTTGGATTTTAAAGTTGACAGAACGCTAGTAATTTTTTTTCTACTGTTGGCAACTATGTTCGCGCACCACAATATGGCGTCCAAACAAAAGGTCAATTGAAAACGGTTGGTTTGCCTTGAAGACGGACCAAGGCGAATCGAAAACAGCCTGGCTTCGCGAATTGGTTTGAATTTTGCAATGGAATTTTGGTTTGAATTTCGGTTTGCTTTTATAACCTTAAAACAAGGCGCCTTTTTGGACAGACCAAATTCAAAAGCTGTCAACCAACTTCTGTCATCCCCAAACCAACCAAGGCCGAACGTTGGTTGCGAATCGAAAACGGCTAGTCTCACGATGAACCCATGACGTCACATTAAAATTGGTTCAAACCTTCCTTGATTCAAACCGTTTCGAAAAACAATCCAATCCACATTTTAAAACCATTGGGTACATTCAGGCGGTCCCAGCGGCTAAGCTCAGCCACTCAGCAGGAACTTTATTCTCGAAACAGGGGAGCAGCGTTCTCATTGGAACGAAAGTTCTGTCTTTGTCGTCCGGCATAACACTGACAATGACAGAGCAATCGTTCTTATGAGAACGCTGTTCCTTGGTTTCGAGGTATGTACCAAAACTGTTAAATCAGTGACTTTAGGTCTGTTAGGAAAAATACAACTATCATTTTATGATAGAAAATGTATGACCCCTTTGGCAAAGCGTTATCGGGTTTAACCATTATTAGGCGTTTTCTGAAAAGCTCTATTCTTGTAGTTTCCTGGCGTGGCGCGTGGCAGCAAGTGCAGAAGCGTGGTAATCACGCCTAAATCGGGGCGTCTGGCAGTGGCAACCCTAGTGGAGGAAGACTTTGTGTATTCTTTTGGAATCAAATTTTAACTCCACTTTGAGAGATGGACTACTTCTTTAATTTAAAATTCTAATGGATTCTGCATGTCGCGAATAAACCTTCTTGGCCTCCGCAGCACAACCCTCGTGTGGCTAAATTCAGCAAAATGTTGCAATGCCACAGATGCAGTGATTTATCGACTTACTAATGCATGCCTGTTTAATTTAATACTCTGCTTTTTCTACTCCACCACGATGCCTGCAGTCTGCACCAGCTGAATCAAGCATCAGCAGCATTAGGTTCACGTACTGTCACCAATAGGTTAGAAAACCAGTCTCCTCAAGGGACCTCTAGACATTCCTCAAGTCAAGGAAGGAAATGTGACAAAATACGCATGAGCTGCGATAGGGACGCCTGACAATTTTGACTCTGAAAGACAATAGAGAGTTCTCGTGTCGTCTAAATTTCAAATACCGTAACGCTATTTGACAAGTATGACAGTTTTTACGATATTAGCGTTAGCGGAGCCCGCTATCTAACGGAACTTAGCGGATGCCTTACCGTAACGCTATGCTATGTCAAAACTAGTTTACGCTCCATTTATGTCTACAAAAAACAGCAACTTCTAATAATTCCTCTATAAAAAACACCAAGGGAAAATTAATCAAGCTCAGGAATCTTCAGGATAAATAAAAGTTAGAAAAGAAGCAAAAACAGTTGGGTTAGATCACTCGACTCAGCTGTCAAAATGTAAACAGAATAAGGGATTAGAGGATTTTTGTGTCTTCGTGTCCGAGAACTATAAAATACCATTTAAAATACCGTATTGTTAGCGGTACTGTATTAGCTATGCGTTTGAGGCACGAGAACTTTCTATTGTAAACAGAATAAGGGATAAGAAGATTTTTGTTTCTTCGTGTCCGAGAACTATAAAAAACCATGTAAAATACCGTATTGTTAGCGGTACCGTATTAGCGTAGCGTCTGAGGCACGAGAACTCTCTAATTTACTGCCAAGGAAACCTTTAAGAAATCCTCAGCACTCAAGTAGGCACTATGAATACCGGGCTGCATTTTTCCGTTTCCTATTTGGTTACCGCTACATGGAGCGCTAAACCTTTAGGACTTGTAAAACTATGTCTGGCATCGCGTTTCCTATTAGGCTAGCGCACATTGTCTACCGCTACATGGCGCGTTACTCCTATAGGACTTGTTAAAGTATATCCGAAGTCGCGTTTCCTATTAGACCAGCGCACATAATGTTACATGTTACGTGACCTTTGACATTGGGTTGGTTTTTAATAATAAACAATAAAACAACTTGCAGGAAGAAATTTACTTTTTTTGTAGCAGCCAAATTCTTTCCAGCGGTAATTAAAAAAAACTTATGAAAAACTGTTTCATAGTTGCAGGCAAGCATTTTGCCGCGGTAGAAAATATACTCATAATAATAAGTGTTTTCACTATAACAGGAAAATAATATTAGTGGTCGCAAAGAACTTAACTGTTACAACCAAGTGACTTTTTGCTAACTTAGTAAAGTGCGTTCTACTACTAGAATAAGATGGTTTTGCAATTACAGCTAAAATTTCTGCTAGATAGCCGAAAATACATTAGTAGATAATTTTTGGCTAGAGGATTTCTCAGTGCAGAATCAACAGAAATAATAAAACGAGACACAACGAGAAATATTACAAAATCATTGCATCACCTGTAAACACCAATTAACCTCAAAAAATGACAATGTAATTAGGCAATCTACTGACCTGTCAAAAATGAAATTCAATATGGAAGTTCGGGTCAAGCATTGGGTCAAGCACTGTGTTGTTTAGTCTGTATGTCATTGATTTTGTCACATTCTGGACAAACGTCAAGATTTTAATTATTGGATTCTGTGTTTTTTGTCTGTTTAGGTATTGTGTTAATCAAAATGCCAGCGATTTGCATCGTAATTGGGTGTGGAAGTCGAGGTACCTAACAGGGATAATGTGAATTTTATTCAGTTCCTGCTATTTTAAATCATTGGCTTTTGATCTTCAAATATAAATTATCAAAACAACGCAGGGCTTTATGGATTACTGCAATTAAAAGAAGAATTCACTCTCCATCTCAGAATTTATTAATAAATTAAAAAATACGTAGAAACACTATAAAATTCACTTTGAAAACAACAAGGGCCAGAACACTAAAAAATACGTAGATATACTAAAGACTATAAAATTCACTATGAAAACAATGGCCAAAACCGAGGCCAAAACCAATAAAAAATACGTAGAAACACCAAAGACTATAAAATTCACTTCAAAAGCAACACGAGCCAGAACACAAATGTGCACAAATGCTCTCCTTATGAACGTCACCGGCTTGTCACCCCTGGCACCGCAATATTTGACCCGAACGGCCATTATAAAATCACGTGATTGAGATTGCCTAATCATGTAACGGTAGACAATGTGCGCTGGCCTAATAGGAAATGCGATGCCAGATATAATTTTACAAGTCCTAAAGGGTTAGCGCTCTGTGTAGCGGTAACCAAATAGGAAACGGATAAATGCTACCGGGCTAAAACACTAAGAAGAGAGCTACTCGCTCTGGTGTTAGTCGCTCCGATTTGAAAGGAACTGATGCGCTGTCTTTCATGCGAATGGTTTGAGTCGGGCTGGCAAAGGGCTGGAGCACTCGGGTGCAGCAAACACTTTTCGAAAGGAATAAGCGCGTGAAGCCCGGAGCTGTTCCGGAGCTCCTCCAAGGTGTGAAAGGAATACAACTTTAATCTCATTAATCCCACCAAATATAAACAAAATACAAATAAAAATTTGGGAGGATTTTCATGCATCCGTTATTCCGTCGAAATATGTCCGTTTAACATTCCATTCTGACATATTCGTATATAAATATGTCAAAATAGAATGTCAAACGGACATATTTCGACGGAAAAACGGATGCATGAAAATCCTCCCAAGTAAAAAACGAACAACAAAAAAAGTAATCTTTATTTACGACTAATGTATAATGTGCGTATTATATTTGTGATTTTGGCAGTATAATGACATATGTTATTCCTCCAGGGATTAATGACGATTAGCGGGATTAATGGTCATTATTCCACAAAAATGTCAGTGTCAAACGTGTAGTGCTTGTGGATTTGTATTGAAAATTATGAGACGGATAAAATTTGTTCATTGAAAATCTCAAATAAATTAATTTATCGTAAATAAAGTAGAGTATACTACTCGCAATAATGGCTATTATTCCCTCGGAATGTTACTCCCTCGCCGCTAACGCGGCTCAGTTCGTAATAATCCTCGGGAATAATAGCTATCATTATTGACTCGTGGTATGTCACACCCATAAAATCGCACTCACACCCGGTGTGTTATTTCTGAACTCGCCCCAGTGATTTATTAGTTATATTCCTTTCAAACACTTCGAGCTACTCGCTCCAGGTAGCCGAACCCGATTTCAAAAGTTCTTTTCACGTGGCTCCGGTTTAACTAACCGGGTTACAAAACGGTTAGAGAAATGACATACCGTTTTCTAACCCGGTTACAAACTGACGTGCTGGATACCTACCACTCGAATTTGAGCGGTATGTTGCGGTTTGTTAAACCGGAGCCACGTGAAAAGGGTTAAAGGGTGAGATGCGGAGTGCAACAAACACTTTTCGAAAGGAATAAGCGCGTAATGCCCCGGAGCTCCTCCTAGGTGTGAAAGGAATACAACTAGGCCGAGTTCAGAAATATTGCACAGGGTGCGAGTGGGATTTATGGGTGTGCGTACGAAATCACCCTGGGCGTCACAGGGTGATTTCGAACGCACTCCTGAATTTATAGCACCGTCTAGCATTTTTGAACAGCTATTTAGGGCGTCGCACCGGTGTCACACTCACACTAGTTGTATTCCTTTCAAGAGCTTGAAACACTCGAGCTACTCGCTTCGGTGCTTAGTCGCCCCCCGATTTGCAGGGAACATATGCGTGGTGCAACAAACACTTTTCGAAAGGAATAAGCGCGTGAAGCCCCGGAGCTGTTCCGGAGCTCCTCCTAGGTGTGAAAGGAATACAACTAGGTGTGTCATTAGTTGTATTCCTTTCAAGAGCTTGAAACACTCGAGCTACTCGCTTCGGTGCTTAGTCGCCCCCGATTTGCAGGGAACATATGCGTGGTGCAACAAACACTTTTCGAAAGGAATAAGCGCGTGAAGCCCTGGAGCTGTTCCGGAGCTCTTCCTAGGTGTGAAAGGAATACAACTATTCCTGAACTCGCCCCTAATGTGTGAAAGTGGGAATTTATTTTTATTATGTTGGTACTATTGGTTGAGAAGAAGAGAAATGATGACACTGATGACAGGGGACTTGACGAAACGTCATGCGTCATGTTATCTTCGTTCTTCGTTTTTCCATTTCATTTCAATCCTCCAGTCAAGTCAAGTCGAAGGCCTCTAGTCTAGTATAGGGAATTTGCTTTTGTAGCGGGAGTGGTGCTAGATTGGTGACTGTATCAAAATAAGGCAGTAGTGTTCTCGTTTTATTTTAAAAACAAAATACCTAATTTTATTTAAATAGTGACCGGATTAGTGTTTACGTTTTGATCGCGATTTTTTAAGTATGTGCCTGAACGCAAGCTAACAACAATGTTCCGCTGTATACCGATTTTCAAAGGCTGCAACAGGCAAATCGAATTTGTTGATAAAAGACACAGTTCCCTTGTAAATGTTCCAGAGGATATATTACGGTACTCAAGAAGCTTAGAAGAACTTTTACTGGATGCCAATCATATCAGAGATCTTCCAAAGGTAATATGTAATTAGTTTTAATTCGTATAGAATTTTACATGTCATGTAAAATTGCTCAAAAGCTTTAAATACTAGGACTAATACAAAGGTTTTATTTCTAGAACTTTTTTCGACTACAAAGACTAAGGAAATTAGGTTTAAGTGACAATGAAATACAAAGATTACCACCGGATATCCAGAACTTTGAGTATTTAGTTGAATTGGATGTCTCCAGAAATGGTAAGAAGTGTTTTTTTTTTATTGTGTATCCAATCTAATTGAGTATATAATGTACTTATGTTGTGTTTATACAAGTCGTTATACAATTATAGAAAGCTCTGGACTATTTTTGTAACATAAAGATCAAAATTTTTAATCTATTGTCAATTGTCTCTTAAAAACTCTGGTTTAACAACTTTTTATAAGAATTGAAATCAGTGAGCTATAAAAATTAGGTAGGTAAATACCTACACCCTACTCAGAACCAGATTCCAGAATCTCTGGGTACTAATTATTAGCCGAGTTAATAGCATTAAGCTCTCTATTAGGGAAAAGTCTCGAGTTTAACACCGATTTAAAATATCTAGGTTACCACTGACTAAAGAAGTATAATTTTGACACATTACGGGGGATGTTTATATAGTGTGTGCCAATTAGGCAATGGACCTTTCTCATTTTACCTGTGCTGCGCGCGCATCTTGTGGGTGACAGATAATTGAATCGTCAATTTACTGAACACGGTCTGACCCTGACGTATTTAAGCTAACCTCAATAATCAATCAATATCAACCAATATTGCTGAAAATTATTACAAAAACTGTTTATGATACAATGGTTCAAATGAGTTGAATGAGTTCTTGTCAGAATTAGGCGAAAAAGAAGTCAAACCTTTCTTTTCACAAGTTCCCAAGCAATCAAATTTATTTATTTATTTATTTATTTATTAACGTATCAACATTTACAGGTTTACAAGTGAACTTAAACTAACTAACCTAAAACAGCCCTTTTTGCACAACTCTTAAATTTTTTATGAGAAACATTAAAAAATTCTAATGACTCACAAAACTTATTCACATTCGCTGATACTCTGTTAACAGGACTATACAATAAGTACCAAGAATTACAAATTGGTATATGCATCAAGGTCTGCCTACGTGTTGGATATCCAGGTACACGAAATCGAAAAGTTTCCAAACATTCTGGACTCTTGATATAGTAGTTCAGAACATTACATGCAAAGCATATGTCATAGTATTCTCTTCTGCGAACAAGAGATGCTAAGTCTAGGTATAACATAGTCTGATCATTATCAAGTTCAATACCATTGCAAAAAAGTTTATATTTAGCATATTTTATAAATTTAAGTTGAACATTTTCAAGTCTATTTATATGAACCTGATAATATGGCGACCAAATTATGTTTGAAAATTCAAGGATGGATCGAACTAGCGATGTATACAACACCTTCAGAGCAAACACATTCCTAAAGTCTTTACTGGTTCTTTTGATAAAACCTAATATTCTATTAGCCCTAGCTACTATATACTCAAAGTGCTCGATGAACGTAAGTTTAGTGTCCAAGTAAACGCCAAGGTCCTTAACAACAAATACCTCAGCAAGAGCAACGTGATTAATGGAATATTCCACAGGTATAGTATTCATCAAGCGGGTGAAGCGCATAAAGCAGCATTTGTCGATATTAAGTGACATGTCGTTGAGGTTACACCAATCGTATACAATGTCCAGATCATTTTGCAGAAGAAGAATATCACGAGTTGATGATACTTCCCGAAATATCTTCAGATCATCCGCAAACATCAGAAAATTGGAGGAAAGTAGATGGCCCAGGTCATTGATGAATAAACTGAACAAGAAAGGTCCCAAATGAGATCCCTGAGGAACCCCAGATGTGACATCGAACTTATCCGAGAGATAACCATCAATTCTCACCTGCTGAATCCTACCTGACAAATAAGACTCCAACCAAGAAATCAAAGTACCCGCAATGCCATAACCGGACAACTTTGAGAGTAGAAGAGCATGATTGACCTTATCAAAGGCCTTACTGAAGTCAGTATATATAGTATGTATCTCACAACCGTTCTCGAATGATCTATTGATAAAGTTAGTGAATAGAAACAAGTTGGTATCAACGGAGCGGCCGGAGGTGAATCCATGTTGCTGATTTACTATGACTTGATGGAAGGCAACCGACAAAACTTTTTCTATACAGTGCTCAAATAGCTTGGGTATTGCTGAGAGGATACTAATTGGTCTATAATTAGACACATTGTTCCTGCTTCCTGACTTGTGGATGGGACAAACATATGACAATTTCCAGACTTTCGGGAACACTCCAGAGATAAGAGACTTGGAAAATACGTAATAGAGGGGAAGATACAGAGAATGGGAGCAAAGTTTTAACACTCTGTTTGGGATTCCATCGGGTCCCTCTCTTTTATTTATGTCGAGTTCAGAGAGAAGTAAGAAAACGATAGTTACGTGCTCTCAACCCGAATGAAGACGATTTAAGTTGGGACAGAGATTTGAGGGTTCGTGTAAAATAACGATTTTTATATCAAATACAATAATAATGTACAATTAAACATAAGTAAACATTTTTGCTGCGGTGGGTTTTCTTTATCTATTAATGTTAATACGTATTTTGTCATATTTACGTTTAAAAATAAACAAAAACAGAAACATAACCGAAATTGTACAATTTGACAAGTGGAACCAATCAAAGTCATTCCATTCCACACAGGTATCCCGCGTCTTTATATGTGTCTTTTTCTTTATTGCAGAAATCTTCATAAACTATCTTTGTTGTTCTCAGGGCCGATACTTTTGCTCTCGATTAACTAATTTGATACGTTGTCAAAGTTTTGCATGGGCCAAGGTCTATAAGTATGATGTGGTTAGAGCACATTCTAACCCCTGATTATTTTTAACAGCTGTTAAATGAGAGCAAAAGTACCTGCACTCAATCACGTGATTTTATAATGGCCGTTCGGGTCAAATATTGCGGTGACAGGTGTGTCATTCATTATAAGGTTGGATATTGGGAGCATTGCAAGCCACTATTTTTAAAACATAAAATACTTACAGTATGCTGTATATTTATCATGGAAACTGCTTGCCTTATGCACAAAAAACATTATGATGAGTTAGAATATCCAAGAACTTATCCAACTAGGCAACTTCTTAAAATTCAGCTTCCTATACCCAAGACTGCATTGGCGCAAAATTCACTAATTTATAAAAGTAGGCAAATTTTTAATCATCTGCCTGTTAACTTAAGGCAGATAGGTGGTTTTAAAAAGTTTAGACTAGAGCTCAAAACATTTTTACATGGAAAAGCCTACTATCATATTAATGAATTTTTAAATGAAAAATTTTAATTTTGTTTGTTTCATTGTTTTGTTTTGTTCTGACCGCAACCTTTATGTTTTTTCTGTATTGGCTGTACCTTCTATATGACTCTATAGTTTGATGTAGTCAAAATTGTACATGTGTTGCTTAGGATTATGCTTTGACATTTATGTTTATGTTTATTTTTTATTTTATTGATTGTACCTCTTTTTGTTTTTTTATAACCCGATAATTTTTAATTACTTGCACATTATTTAAGATCATGCTTTGTCAATGAAATTTATTTTTCCGACAATAAAGTATATTTTGATTGATTGATTGATATTTGTCAAAACAAGAAAACCAGAAATTACTAGCGGGCTGTCAACTAGATATTTTATTATTTCTACTCTGCCCAATACAACCTAAAATTGATGGCTTTTCTTTCCAAAAATATTCGTAATAGGCGGCAAATTTAAATTTTGAATGTACTTAATTTATTCACTAACTTTGGATTTTAAAGTTGACAGAACGCTAGTAGTTTTTTTTTTACTGTTGGCAACTATGTTCGCGCACCGCAATATGGCGTCCAAACAAAAGGTCAATTGACCTATTGTTTGGACGCCATATTGCGGTGCGCGAACATAATTGCCAAAAGTAGAAAAAAAAAATTACTATCGTTCTGTCAACATTAAAAACAAAAGTTACTGAATAAATTCCATTTAAAATTTGAATTTGCCGCCTATTACGAATGTTTTTGAGAAGAAAAGCCATCAACTTTAGCTTGTATTGGGCCAAGTTCAGAAGTAACGCACAGGGTGCGAGTGCGATTTTATGATTAAATTGACAATTGGACATTGGGCCCATAGCACCGTCTACATTTTTGAACAGCTAGGGCGTTGCACCGGTGTCACACTCACACTAGGTGTGTCATTCCTGAACTCGCCCTTGTGTTGTAATGTTGACAGCCCGCTAGTAATTTTTGTTTTCTTCTTTTGGCAACTATGTTTGCGCACCGCAATATGGCGTCCAAACAGAAGGTCAATTGGAATGATTCTCACTGTACCTTGTTGGCAAAAAAGAGGGACACTGCATTTTCTGACCACTCAGGGCCAAGCGGTAAATTTATGTTTCAAAGTTTTCAATGTCAAAATTCATCTTCGGAAAGAATACACTTTATATATAACAAAACAAAAACAAAAATTACATATTATCATTACCTATTAATTATTGTTAACATTTGCTGGGCTTGTTTCCTAAATATTATATGAGCATTGCCCAACACCCTCGCCAACACCTATAGGTACTCACCTAATGTGGAAATTTGATATCTTATCTTTTTGTTGCTTCATCCTAAATATGTACTTCGTAAATTATTGTTATGACAATATTACTAGATAATTAGGTGAGAAATAAAGTTTCCAAATAATAGTATATTGTTGTATTAGGAGTAGAAGCTTTACTTTTTTTGTACTGAAGCAGTAGGTTTGCGAGCCGAACGTAGTGAGGCTTGCAATACTGCTGAAGCACAAAAAAATGCTTCTACTCCGTATGCAACACGCTATTTTTTCTCCAAACAAATGGGGTAAGCTCGGGGGTAACTGAATGGTTAAGCGGCAGTAAAAGTACGAGCGGCACTAAAAGTACTTTTGCTGCCGCTCCAGCGGCACTAATAGTTATTTATGTACCAAGGCTTGTAAGTGTTACTTTTTTGGCCGAGGATGCAGTTTGCAAGCCGAGGCCCGTAGGGCCGAGGTTTGCAAGCATTTGAGGCCAAAAAAGTACACGCTACAAGTCGAGGTGCATATGATATTTTTTGTGCTACCGTACATTCAAGATAGCAAATATCATGAATTTGCTTTGTTCGCGAAGAAGTTCCCAAACTGATC